TATTTTTCTTAATGCAGATTTTACAACAATGCATACTATGCGAAAGTAGGAGGAATCAGCAGAGCAGAAATGAACCATCTTGAAGTGGACTTCTTGTTTGGATTAGGGTTTCAATTAAATGTTACCCCCCATACATTCCATACATACTGCTGTTACATTCAAAGAGAGATGCTGCAACACTCTCCTCCTCTACCTCTACACTTACCACCATCTTCAAATCATGATCATTACTATATCAATGAAGATGGGTCCACACATCAGCATCAACTACCATTTCAATTAATCCATAATATTGTTGATTAATCACCAATAATTTTGTCAATTTGGTTGAAGATCATGATGGGAATGCTAGATAACGCTTTTCTATTATTCGAAAGTCCAATATGATAAAAGCTAAAAGCATTTCAATTTTGTTCATCTCACAATTGAATGTGTTGATCTGGTTCGATTCATGATTGCATCTTTAGAACCTTTTGACACCTAATTCCTTTTTGCATTCAATTTTTAATATTCCATACCTCTTGTTTATTTTGGCAAAAAGAATTGGAAGATTCCTTTTATAAAAACAATGATCGGAAAATAGGACTTTTATCGTTACTAAAGCCGAATACACAAAAGAATATTTATCTCGAATCCATTCCAAATTTTAGTCAAAAACTAAACATTACTTCGCATCAAATCCCTTCCAAACCCTAAATCCATGTTCTCTTAAATAATCTCTTCCATTTACTCTCAAATCCTACTATGATCTCATAAAAATCATCATCGTTACAAATTTTGAAAATTATATTGAAGAAATTATAATCTATAAGAGAGAGAGAGAGAGAGAGAGAGAGAGAGAGAGAGAGAGAGGAACATCTTATAGAAGTTGCATTTGATTAATTTGACTAACGTGCTCGCTGTTTCATTGTTGGTTTTTAGTTTATAAATTCAGGCCTAAAAAACCTTTATAATTATTTATTTATTTATTTATTTTTGAACGCCATCAATAATTTGATAGCCCAACTACGAAAATCTCATGTCCAACCTTGCATAACAAACACCGTAAATTGAACCCGAAAATTCTCCCAAAACTGCAACCAGCTAAAATTAGCTCTTACTACAAATATCACTCGAGACATGAGTGATCCATCTTAAGAAGTTTCATATACCTTAGATACAACAGCGTGCACATAAATGTTGAACTACAAATGCTATCTATTGACGGCTATTTATATGTTATCTTACATTATTCAGCATACTACACGAAACTTTAGCCATAGCACCGAATAGGGTCATTGCAACCTTTGCCAGCCGATTGTTTTAAACCAAATCGTCCCCCCTTTTCAAGATATTGCTGGTGATACTCTTCTGCTCTGTAAAATTTCTTGGCAGGCAGAATTTCAGTTACGATCTTCCTGTTCAAAAGTTCTTGCTGTTTATCCCTCGACTCCAGTGCTGCCTTTTCTTGTTCTGGTGTGTAGTAGTAAATTCCGGATCTATACTGGGTTCCGACATCGTTCCCCTGTATAGAGCATAATGGGGTCATTAGCATGCACAGCCTAAAAGCAATGATAAAAGGGAATTTTTTCCCCACTTGTCCAAAATGTACAGCCAAGAATGCAACTCTCTCGTCATTTAACCCCGACAAGCAACATACATCATTCCCCTTAGTTCTCACTCCTCATTATAAAGTTGGGTAACAAGAAAAAATCGGAGAGAAATTTTGCAGGAATTTCAGCCTATTCTTTCACAGGGAATTTGGTTTGAGTTTAAAATTCGCACATCATTTGAAATGAAATTATGAGCAGAGAGTGTGAAATTTTGTTGAGGTTTTTGTCACGTTTATCGTGGGATTTTGACTCATAGTCAACAACAAGATAAGCAAAAGTTTGCAGACATATCATGAGCGGGATAAAGAGTTGAAACAGCTATGCACATATTCATCAGTAAAATGTAAATTGGATTAAAAAGGGACATTGATGTTGAAATGGTTGGATGAAAATAGATCACTGTAATACTGAGAAATTATGACAATTTTTAGATGTAGAAAACCAAGAGGCTATATAACTCCCTTTGAAACCCAAAAGGAATCCACACATTTTGAAAACCACACGGACGTAAACTCTTTTTTGTCCCTACAAGAATAATCAAATGGCCAAACAATTAAGGCAAACGGAGATTTTGAGTTTCAACATCCACAAGGCCTTTACAAGAGAGAGAGAGAAAAAAAACACAAATTTTTACTGAATGTGACATTGGATCTGTACGTTTTTTCATCATAAATTTTCAATCTAGTAAACTTATAAATTAATCAATATATTTAGATACCAGACGACTAATAAGTATAAAGCATCAATAGAAGCAGCAATTACTGCAGTAATGCTACTCTAATGACGATGGCATCTTACAATAACCATATTGCAATAATATCAATATTATGGCCCCGTTTGGTAGCCATTTTCTTCAAAATGCATTTTTCTCTCTCTTCTTTTCAACAACATATTCTTTATTAAAATAATATTACACGTAAGTAAAAAACTTTTCTTTATTTTTCAACCACACATTTCACGTGAATTTACTATTCTAAAATGTATTTTTACATAAAAATACCTATCAAACACCTCCTATGTGTAAGTTACTAATTCCTTGAAAAACTAAATTTTATTTTACAATTGAGAAAGTGGATTCTAAGTGTGACTGAACTGCACTAATTGTAGATAGACTGCGGTCCAGATGATTCTGAAAAGAAGTGAACAGTGATAAGGTGGATGCATGCAATAGCCTTCAAACAAGACTGGAATAACTAAGACCGCTCCATATTCCCACTTTAATTGAGTTTTAATTTATCCAAGTATCCTTACTCGTACAAATAGCTTCCAAATCTAAGAAGATAGCCACATCTACAGAACTGTATGTCTTGGAATTGGAAATTTTCCTCACTAATGCAACATGAGAACAAGAAAATTGGGTCCTCTGATTATATATTACTATGCAATGAAAGTAACCAAAGTTCCTAATACTACATTTGGAGGTATGGAATTTGGGCCATCAAATCAAGAAACCGGTTGAATTGGTTAAACTATGAGGCCTCAATTCCATTGCCCTAAATTTATTTTTGTTCTGTAAGAAAAATAGCAAAATAAGAATTTGTTCACTGCAAATAAATAGTGAAAAGGCATAGGTCACTTTTATATCTATCAAAAAAAAAAAAAAATTCAACATTTTCTTTCACCTCTCATTTCATTTGGGAAAAAAATAGAGCGAAAGTATAATGCTCTAAATTCTTGAACTTTCTACATCTCTGAAGCTTATTTGAAGTATGAAACATGATACAAAAATCAAATGATCTCTCAAAGTATTCTCCTCACTGGAAGGGGGAAAAAAAAATGCATGTCCATGTCATCAGTGGTTGAAAAATTGCAACATAAAAAAAGAACAAAGAGAGTGATATTACCACAAGGAAAATATAGGAATTTGATTGAACTCTGCAATCCAGTAAAAACAAGGCTTACAATGGTAGCGAAACACACACAACTACTTATCTACCATATCAAGCATTAAAGAGATCTTTCTGTTTTCAAATCTATATTTCCATCAACATGCACACATGGCCCTCGAAGTCCCACCGTATCATCCATGGAAATGAAGTATTTAAAAAATAAAAAATAAAAGCTCTTTTTTTGAAATTATCATTTCCAATGCATGTAGTTTAACCTTTTTCCATTATCTTCCTTTGACAAAAAATTATTATTACTTGTTTGCCAAAAAAGACATTGATTTTGGAAAGAAAGATCTTATACAGTACATGTTATTTAGTTAATTGTGACAAATTTGCAGCAAAACAACTAAATCTACCAGTATGGCGTTGAAGAGTAATAATTATGAATAAGAATTTTCTATCAATTTTCCTCCAGGAAATTTCTATCAAAAGTCAACCAAAATTTGAAACATCAAATCAAAAATCAAATAAAATCTTCAATAGAAATGAAAACTCCAAAATTCAAAAGCAATAATCATCAGATAGAAACCCGATACAATTAACTCATTATAGCTCATAATTTACAACACTCACCTGGCGATTAGGAGTTGTAGGATCATTTCTCGCCCAGAAAACATCAAGCAGAGTCTCATAACTACAGTCCTTAGGGTCATACTGGACACGAACAACCTCCGAATGGTTCGTGGTACCGGAACAAACATTCTGGTACGTGGGATTGTGCAAGTACCCCTGGGAGTATCCCACTTCAGTCTTGGTCACACCAGGCACTCTCTGGAAGGCCAATTCAACTCCCCAGAAACAACCCGCCCCAAGCTGCGCAAACTGTTGACCCGGAGCTGGTTCCTCATCGTCGGTTCCCTGCGCTATGGAAGAATCGGAAGAGGAATCCACGGGGGAGTCAGTGGAGTTGCGCACACCAAATCTGAACTTGTACAGCCAGTTCATTCTTGGAGAGGTGGAATTAATGGAAGGGTTTTTAACGGTGTAGGAGGAATTAAAGGGTGTTGGGGAGTAGAATTTGGGAAAGGAAAAGAGCGTAGAAAGGACGGAGAACGTGGCTATGGCGGTGATTTTGAAGATTATTCTTAGAAGAGATGGCGTGTGGGGTTTGTTACGTGGGTCAGGGACTGTATGTTCCGTGTATAATAAAAACATGTCGATTTCGAGAAAACTTCAACAGTACTAGAAATTTATCCGTCATTTAAATTTAATCAAATAAATTTGGCCAATTTCGTGACAAATCAATAAAGGTAATTAACACAAAATGTTTTTATCTTTTAATATGATTGTGCAAAACATCATTACTTTTTACTTTTGGATATTTTTATCCTTACCTTCACGTTTTATTATGAAAATCATTATTTTCATCAAATTTCTTATGTAAAATTACAAATATACCCCCTATTAAAATAAAATAATAAAAAATAAAAGTAAAGTAAAAGAATAAATTACAATTATACGCTCAAACCTTTTTAAAAAATTCAAATAAATTATTAAAATGGTAATTAGCACAAAACGTCGATACATTTCTTTTTTGACATTTTCACCCTTATATTTATATTTCATGACAAAAATCGTTATTTTCATTCATTTTTTCAATTAAAAGCTGTAAAATGACAAATATACATTTCTCTTTAAATAAACAAAAATAAAGAAAAGAAAAATGAAGAACAAATTGTAAATATACTCCCAAATTTTACAAAAAAAAAAAAATTTAAAAAATGATTAAAAAACAAAAAATTACTTTATTTTTAATTATTTATTTAAGATTAATTTGCACTTTTTTTTGAAAATTTTGAAATTATAGTTACAATTTATTCTTTAATTTTTATTTTGGTTTATTTAAACACGAGTGTATATTTGTCATTTTACAGCTTTTAATTGAAAAAATGAATGAAAATAACGATTTTCGTAATGAAATATAAAATAAGGGTGAAAATGTCAAAATAGAAAAGGTATGGACATTTTGCACAATAATAATGAAAGGTATAGACATTTTATGCTAATTACTCTTTTAAAAATTTATTTGAACTCATTTGCACTTTTTAAAAAGTATGGGTGTAAAATTACAATTTATTCTATAACTTTTTTTTTTTAAAATTTAAATATGAGGTATATTTGTCATTTTACAGGAGAAATTTGATGAAAATAACAATTTCCGCAATAAAATGTGAAAGTATGAATAAAAGTGCCAAAAAATGAAAGATAATGATATTTTGTGTTAATTACCCAATCAACGATTAATTATCATCTTTATTTCACTAAAATTATATTTATTCCACGTATGTGATTACCCATTATTTATTAGACTATTAAGTATTAATTTTTGAAAGTGGCAAAATTATCAAATTAAAACTTTTGAATATACCTTTAATACTATTTTATTGAAGAATGTGTAATTGAAAATGAGTTTTGAAGAAATGATTTTTTAGAGAACGGGGTTCAAACACGGCTTAAATATAATTATTCAAAATTAAAAGGACATTTAAAAAAAATAAAAAAAATCAGAGTTAGTATGAATTGAATTTCCTCCCAATCTAACAGTATTCTATCAATTTTTGGCAACTTTCGTTCAATGTAATATAGACGTGAGAGGTTATGTGACACAACTGCAAGTCAATTCGTGTAACGTGTTTTCTTAAACAACAAACCAAACTTTTAACTTGAATCAAAATTAAATATTAATTTTAGTTGTACATTTATGACTGTGACTTATTAGAAATATAATTTTAAAATTAACTAACTTGTAAAAGAAATTAAAAAGTCAAATGGTCACGTTTGTGATATCTAATAAATATTCTGACTTATAATTTAAATTAAACATGTTCCAGTCACGTATCACTCAATTTTTGGTTCACAATCATATATTAAATCATAAACCACAAAAGAATATAGGAACATATCACACAATTTATTGTGGAAAATGTTCATAGTTTCTTGTTTTGGCATTTTCACCCCTATTTTTCACATTTCATTGAGTAAAATGTCATTTTCATCAATTTTTCTAATAAAATGACGATTTTACCAACCTAATCAAATAAAATAAAAACAAAAAATAAATAACCAATTGCAACCATGGTCCTTAAGTTTTTAAAAAATTACAAAGAAATCATAATTTCTCCATAACCACCACTTTTACACCCTACCGAGCCACCACCAATAGATCCACATAGCTACCATGCCTACGGGACTCCACTACTACCAACCTTGCATCACTCTCGCACCATCCTCCACATGAATTTGAAGATTGGAGCACTTGGGACCCACCAATTTGGTTAGACTGCTCTCACCGTGCATCACGCTTATAGAGTTTTGGACCAGAAACTAAAACGATTGAGAGGTGTAATTTGTTCAATTAGATTCATACCCATTGTTGTTTGGGTATGATGATGGTTCGATTGATATCAATTTGGGGAATTAGTCTTATATGATGCATGAGTTGAAGAAGATAAGTTTGGAAAAATGGACGTCGCTATCGTCGAATGTTATTGAATTATAGGTGAATGATTTAAGGCAGTTTTGATTGATATGGGGCCATGTATAGGTTTGTCAAGGTGAGAGGCAATCATTTGTGGTGGTACACGACCGTGGATGTCGTCGAAAGTGGGATTGCTGTGAAGGGTTGTATATGGCAGCTTGAATTTTTGGGCTGGGAATGTTGGTTGTTACTGGCAAATTGGTTACCAATACTGTGGGGAAGATGTTGGGGAAAGTGGGGTGAGGCTATTGGTGGTGGAGTTCGACGGGCGTGATGGCCGGAAGGTGGTGCTAAATAGATCTATAGGTGGCAGCTTGGTAGGGTTGTGAAAGTGGAAGTGGCAACGAATTTAGGATTTATCTGTAATGTTTTGAAAAATTTAAGACTATGATTGCAATTAGTTATTTATTTATTGTTTTATTTTATTTTTGTTTTATTTGAATAAGAGGGTAAAATCGTCATTTTATTGAAAAAATTGATGAAAATGACCTTTTGCGCAATGAAATGTGAAAGTTAGGGGTGAAAATGCAAAAAAATAAAAATGAAAATGAAAGATATAGACGTTTGTACAATAACATTGAAAGGTAGGGACGTTTTGTGCCAATTGCCCTTTATTAAGCGATGAGATGAATGTATTGAATTTTTAACTCCACCAATTAATATTTAGTTTTGATTATCAACTTATGTTAATTAGTATGATTAATATATTTGTGACGATAGATTATCAATCAATATTATTTTCCAAGATATGTTAAACATATGTTTAATATGACTCGACTCGATCTTATTCCTAATCCAAATTCATATGTATAGTACGCTCATGCTATAAGTATTATTCCTATTATCTATTAACCATGTGAGAAATATGCTACGTTCTACTTATTTTGAGTTTTCCAACATTACAAATAAGTAACTGAATTTTCTAAATGGTACACAAATATTCAAACAAATATAATTAATGCATATTAAATGACAAACACGAGAATTAACTGAAAAACAGTAATTCTTGAATTGAAAACTATAAATGAATAGCTTTTGTCATCCATCTAATAAATAAAAGATTTAGTCTAACTTTGTCATATGAAAATTACACAAAGAATAAGAAAAGACATCACCCAAGACAAGGAAGACAATAAAGAACTTGGAAACTCCAATTTTTCACTTTAATGTTTGACCCAAACGACGATTGATTGCTTCTTGAATGTAATAATGCTTCTTACACTCTCAAAACAATGATAAAAAAAAAAAAATACCCCCTACATTCCGCACGACCTAGCTATATAGAGTGCCAAAATATTGTATACAAAAACTGAATGAGGAAAAAAAATTTCCCTGAGTTAGACCTAGGCACGGGCCTAGTACAAACTAGGGCGCTTGCCTGACCCCTTTAAACAGCCCTAGGTGAGGCCTTTTTGGTCCGAGGCGCACGCCTCGCCTTCATGCGAAGGCACGTGCTTTGGATTCTTTACAACTTGGCCCTTAAACTTTCTCCAATGTACTTTTTCGTATTTTTTCACTTCTTTTTGTCCCTTTTTACTTGTTCTCTTATCCAATTAAGTTTTCGTACTTTTGAATCTTCGTACTTTGTTCCCAGCCAACTTTTAATTATTCGCATTTAATCCCTAAACTTTAGATATGATTCACTTTAGTCCTTTCCTTGCTTTTTTCCCCCAATTTCACCAATGTCATCACTGTTGTCTATAAAATCAATATTTACATAGAATTAAGCCATGTTTCATATAATTTACGAACAAATAGTTAAATTTAGTTGTCCAAATAAGTGTATAAAAATATGCGTATTATACAACATTAATAGATTACGAATATTTTATTAATTACAAATTAACTGATCATAGTCGCTATTCTTTTCATCCAACAAGCAACAGCCTCCACGTCATTAGCTAATCTACTTCCCTGATTGTATCCATTCACTTATCAAGGTCACCATGCATCTAATTCTGCTTTTGATTTCTCTGGCAATGAATCTTTTGCTACTGTTGCAATCGATGACGACTCTTCTTTCTGCCTTGTCGACACCTCTACCAAAATGTCACCACCACCACAATTACAAACGACTCCCATATCTAATCAAAGATAGCTCTTAGGCCTAGACTCGATTTGGTTTGTGTCGTTTTCAACTCCAACCCGAAATTAAAACCAAATTTGTTGGTTTGGGTGAAGTTCAACCCGAACAAACTCACTCTAACTCTAAAACCAAATCACTTAAATCTAATTGGTTTGGTTAGTAGATTTGGACTTTGAGTCCAAATTGAATTGATTTTTAAAAAAAAATAAAAATTGTCAAAATTTGCCCACTTAGATTACAAGAATTAAAATAACTAAATAACTTACAGATCAAAAGAATACTTAGGAATTTTATTGTTTTTTATGCATTATGTAGCCTACCTGAGTAGGAAAGAGGGCTAAGTATAACATAATGAGTTTGTGAAAGAAATTTCATAGTGCTATTACTTATTAGCAACATCATAAATTGGATGGAGCCGAAATATAGTTATGGGATTAGGGCTTATTTTTTGATTTTTATTTTTCTTAAAAAAATGTAAACAAGTAAGTAGGTTGGGTCATTCCAGTTAATCAACGGTTTGAGGCTTCAAATTATAGCTGAACCAACCTACCATGGTTTTATCAAACAAATTACTTGTATCAAATCAACTTGAGCCGGTTCGATTTGATTGGTTTGGTCAATTTTTCGATTTTTTTGCCTTGGTAGTAGCTCTTTAACCCCCACTATCAGCAATTCCTACTACCATAGAGCCATGGCTAGGAGGCTAAGGTGATAAAGATAGAGACTTAGAAGGAACTTTCTCATCGAATTATCATGCACACTGTAACGCCACCATGCCCACACCATCGGCGCCATCCTTCACCTTTAGATCTACGGTCGCTGGTCCACTACCATTGTAGCATTGCCAAACAATTTCCAAATTTATAGCCCTCGTCCCTGCAATGCTATCGCCAACTCCATCGACCCTAACCCACCTCCATCATCATTTCTCTAATTATCTTTCTCTCCAACCCACCTCTGACTCTCCACTCTTCCCTCCTCTCAACTCTTAAGAACAAGTTTTCTTCCAACTCATTCACCACCTAATCCATTACACCTCCTAGAGATGCCGAATTAAGTCCCAAGAGACGGGGATGGAGACAGATTGTGGTCATACCGGGTGGTGTTGGGTGGCCTTCTGGCCGATGACACATTAGAAATTAGGGATTTTCTACAATAAGTAATAAAACTTATACATAAACAATTACATAATAATTTACATACAAATAAGGTATTAAAAATGTTTGATTATTGGCATGAAATTTGCAAATAAGCTTTAGGCAATGAAAATTATTAACTATATATACCGGGAAAATTATTGTTTCCTTTGTTTTAGAAAAAAATATAGCCATATAACCAACTTTTAAACATATATTTTCATGAAAAAAATATCAATCAAACACCCCAAAAATTAAAATTTGAATAAAAAAATCATTTTTTATGAAAAATAAATCCAATCAAACACACTTTAATAAAAAAAATTATCGAATTTTGATAAAAATCAATAAAAGATGTAGTTAAAAATTAAAAAGAAATTATAAAATCCTTCAAGTATAGTTAAAATTAAAGTTTGATCAATTAAAATAAAATGTTATTGCACAAGCAATTTTTCCACTCAAAAATTGTATTTATAAGTTTGTAAATTTCAGAAGATTTTGTGTAGGTTGTAAGAAAGTTATAGAACTTGGCCCTTTCCCCAAAAACATGTCCATTTCACAACTCCTCATTTTAATTGACGTATACAGACAGCAAAAGCAAAGGAATTTCATTCACTTAGCACAATTTATCCTTTTTCCCTTTTCCTCTAGAACATTTAGGCTTATAAGATTAAAAAAAAGACATACATGCAACAAAATTTTATTTAGTCCAGTCGAACATATTAATGCATGCCACTAAAAACACAAATACGTGCAAACCGACAATAATCTTGTCTCGTTACACATTGTGTCTCAAACGCTTTCTCAACAACCTCACTTGTAAGAATCATAAACCATGCAATCATCCATAGCTATCAAAGGTCAAATTTAAAGAATGATTTGCTTCAACTAGTAGATCGACAGCCTTCACGACTTTCCTCATCATATGAATTTGATCTTGAAGTGTAGGGAGATTAGAGAGAAGTCAAAACATTTCAGATCCTGCGATGACCCAATAATAATAATAATAATAATAATAATAATAATAATAATAATAATAATAATAATAATAATAATAATAATAATAATAATAATAATAAATTCCATTATGGTATATAGTTTTGATCCACAAGTATAATAACATTTAAAAATTACACAAAACACCTTAAATCCTGTGAGAGAGAATGAAAAAGACGCATCCTTCTTGAAATGGAAGAAACGAATTCAACAAAAAGACAACAATTCTATGTTGAGAAAATAAAGATGTTACCATGGTGTTACAATATGTTTAGGAACACTAAATCATGTTGCAAGCATGACTCGTCAAAGAATGAGTGGAGCATTCAAATTTTAATTTTCCTCCGTCAATGACTCAATGGATCACATATTCTACAGTAAGGGATGCAAAAGCTTTGAGGAGTATTAGTTAGTTAAAGCAAAGGCAATAGATTGATTTAAGAGTTCTAGACGGATGTGCATGAAAGTTGAATAGTTATCTTGGAACTGAAGGGGAGAAAGATGTCCACAATATATCTTGTCGAATAGCAATTAGAGATATACATGACATGTTTGGTATGCAGTATTGGATTGCACTCGACAATACAATCACCACGATTTCAACTTCTTCATCTTCCTTACTCAGACCAATAGGGTACAAACCAACAAGCCACAAGTGCATTAGGATGAAAACTAAAAAGATCCATTTCATTGTAACCAGATCACATAACGCTTTAAATTCTATAAGACCTTGTAAATGTAGAAATATCTATTATACTAGAAGGATTTGAAAATCAGAAGTGAAGGAAGCCCACTAAGAGGATGAAAATGGAAAGAGCAATTGGTACAAACAGAATCCTTATTGAGTATGCAAGTATATCCAAAAGAGACTGAGAGGCCTAATAAGTGGAGGAACAATGTTAAAATAAATTAGACATTTATGCTTGTATAAACTATAGAAGCATTAGGTAGGCCCATGGCTCATCGTACGAGAAATTTAAAGAAAGGATAACAAGCTAAGTTGTGCTTAAAAGGTAATCTGTATCGTTTTATCTTTTATGTTAGGGGACAAACATAAGGAAGTTATTTACATAATTCAAAGATTGACAGAAAAGTATAGAGCAAAGAATTTTTAGTTTTTATTTTTTTCCAATTTAGACAAATCATGTGGTGCCTATTGTGTGTTATTCTACCTGAAATATTAATGTCATTGTGATATGTATGATGGAGTAGTCACGTGTGTAAAATCTAGTGGGAATTGTAAATAATTTCCTATTAAAAAAAAAAAAACTTATAAATTTATACCTTCTACCATTTTTATCTTGAAGAATTTACTAACTGAAAAATGGCAAATAAATCGAAAAACGATCTTCTCAAAAGACCCCTCAACAATAAAAGAAATGCCTTGTGTGAATTAGCAAGGCAAACAACTCAAAAGAAACCACTTATTTACTTCCTATTTCTTAATGGAAAAGAGTAATTGTCCAATATTCTTCTAGTCTTCCACTTACATACTTCTTCGATTTCACATAGCCACACTAATTCACTACCCACTCATTCCTTATGACATGTTAACCATACAAGTAAATCAACTGTTAATTAAAGTCAAGGGCCTCAAATATGTCATTGTTCTATAACCTTCATAATGGAGGCGTTAACGGACATTTTTGTTAAAATTCCAACGCTTTGTATACCTAAGAAATTACTCTCCAGCAATTCGAATCCAAAGCATTTAAGAGTATAATCACTCACAAACTTCCTATTTTCTTTGTCCAATTCTAACAAAAAAATTTGAAAAAAATAAAAAATAAAAAAATACACGAATAGGACGAACCAATGAGTCTCCTTACCTTTCAAGAAAATCCATTACTCCAGAAATTTCTTAATTCAAATCAATGACCAAACAATGGTTTCCTTCCCCTTCCGCTGGTCAAGTTCTTTCTCAGATCCAGTATGGAATGCCCCCTGGATCTACACTTGCTAGAAATGACACAAGAAGCAGTGCAGTCGATCGAAGAAAGAAAAAGTAGAATTCCACTTTTCCTCATTTGACCTGTTACACAAAATAAGATATCTTTTTATTCTTTTCATGTGAAAATTGATGGTTTAAGCAGGAAAGATGGGTGATTTCAACAGTCCAGATACAACTCAAACGGAGAATATTATAATGGGAGAGGTAGTTTTTATTCAAGTTTATTATTTCTTTAACATTCACTTGTGCCCCATTAATATCTTTAAAAAAGCTTGAAGTGATTGTTTTTTAACTCCATTGACACTTCCAAAATACTGAAAGGACCAGCACTCCTTGTCATGTATCTGCCATCCTTTTGGTGTATGTGAAATATCTTTCGGTTTGATTAACTGCTGAGGATGATTTGTATATTTTCATTTTCTTTGCTATAGTCTTCTCCAAACTGAAGAACCATCTCTCTTAGGAATAAAAGTATTCTGCAGTATCTGGTTGTGTGGCCTATCCACATACTTATTTAGATTGCCGTGCTCCAAAAACAGTTAGTTGACAACTCTGGAAGATATATATTTGATTTTGTTCCAATGCCTTGAGCTGAATTTGTATTATCTCATATTACGATTTTATTTATAAAAATTTAACTCGCCATGATTCAGCCACTACAGTGTGTTGCAAATTAAATTTTCTTCCTCGTACTGATGTATTCTTTTGTTCACTACAATAGAACAGTTTCATACTTAATCTTTACATTTTTTGATCTACTTGTTTGATATCTTTTAGTAGGATGTACCAATGAATTGATTGAAGTTGCGAAGAATGATGCATATAGTTGACCATTAAATTTTGTCAAGTAGATTTTTTGGGTGTGCCAAATGTTCTGATGGCTCAAGCCATTTTTGCAGGTTTGTGTCCCTTGGTATATGTTATTACAACTACTGGGACATGGATACTCGACATCTTACATTCTCATTGACGAAGGAGCCAATGGAGACAAAAATTCTATGTTCGTTTTTGACTTATGCATGTACAAAATGCTAAATGCTCCATGTAGCCTTCCAAGCTAACTATGTTATGGTTTCAATTTACTTCTCGGTTGTTTTTCTTATATTCTGAATATATTATTAACATTTTGTTTTTCTGGGAATTCTGGATCGAAGAAGGACAGATCAAAATTAGGATTAAGCAATCTCTGAGTATACAATTTCCAAATGCAATTTGTATTTTTCTCAAACTAATTTTTTTTTTTTTGGCAAAATATTTCTCAAAGTTCATGCAGCTTAGGAGAAAAAGATTAGTGTTTGAGCAAAATTTTGAAACATTGTCAACTGAAATGATAAATGAGTCGATAATTGAGTTCTCATAACACAAATCTCACTTCGACGAGCTAAATTGCACCCTTTTTTACGTGAGTTTCCATCATTGTTGGCATTTCATAACCCAATTGAAACAACGTAGTTTGACCCAAATAACATCTAGAGGGGGTGAAAGGTGTTTATGCAGAATTTTAAACACTCAATTAATTATTGCAACAAGTCACAGTTATTAATTTAATCCAGATTCATTTACACGCATTACTACCTTATGTTGAACTGTTACAAAATTGTAAATTGTTGAAAATTAAAGAATACAATAATTTGATGATGGAGAAAACCCCTTGCAAGATTAAAAACTCTAGGCCCAAGCTAATATGAATCCACTATAAACGAAAAATCAACTTACAGTCCGCTAGATTCAACCAACTCTAATTTTTTCTGACTGTAATTCCCTAAATCCCTCCTGGAAAGCGTGCTCCTGCACCAAGTCCCGACTCTTGATTTCATCTATCTCCTGTGGATTCTCGAGAACTCCTCGTTCTCCAATGATCGAAACTTTGATCTTATTCCCTGATCTTCAATTCTTGACAGATGCCTTGGAAGGACAAGTTTTGATGTTTGATGGATGTGGATTTGATGTTTTTGAGTGAGTGCACCAACAAGGTTGTGGAATTGAATCAATGTAATAAAGAGTAGGATGTGTTCTTCAAGTTCAATCCACCAAAAACGAAAGAATGCGACGCACTAGAATATATATGACAAGTTTTGGGTGGTGTGGGCTAGGTCAAAAACTCGAAAATCACAAAATAGGGTTTCTCTAGATGGCACTGTCGCTTGAGCGAAAAGCTAACAACGCTATTTCGCTCAAGGAAGGTAGTGGCGTTGAGCTGGTGACGAGGTCTTTATTTTTTATGCTCGAGCAATCTCTTGGCGAGCAACTAGCGAAACTTCGATGAAACTTCTTCCCTTTTTCCAAAACTCATTCCCTAACATACTTTTACAAAATTGCAATATACTCCTTGACTTTTACACATGTATAGATTGACCCGTGAACTTTAAACATAGACAATTTGACCCTCAATTTTGACCATTTATAGTTTGATCCTTTTGTTTACAGAATTGCAAACTCAAAACCTAACAAACTCCCTCTTTGATATTCTGTGACAAAACATATATTACATCAATGACTCCTATGACTACCCAAAACATCTGACTAATCCGACTATTGCTTCGTCTTCAATAGACCTATTTCCTAAAATCACAACTCACATACCAAGTGTAAAAGCAAAATAAACAGTAATATAAGTAAAAGCAGTAAAGATAGACAGTCATCAATAACCACAATATCATATGATAAGCTGGATTAATACACAATATCAATGTAATTCAAAACACCAAAAACATACATCAATATTACTAAACATCAAAACTTAATCTAGCAAAAAAAATGACAATCATCACAAGTCCCAAAAACTATACAATAACACCACTCCCCATTTTTGTCTCAAATGACAAGGGGATCCCTAAAGACTAAGAAACACTACCATCTCCGTCGTCCTCCTCATTAGTATCGTCATCATTAACGTTATGGTCCCAGTGCTCGCGTAGCCATCAGATCCCGCACTGCACATATGCAATCTTACCTCTCAACGTAGCACACTCCATAATATGGCACTCTGAAGCAGCTCGCGGCTGAGTAATCTCTACCATCATGCAAGCTTGCTGCTCAATCAATATCGACATTGACCCATAGAAGCAACTGAAGGGTCAATGTGAGCAGTAGTCAGAGCAGGCTGAGCGGATGGAGGCATTGAAGTAGAAGATGATGGAATATCACTAGTGGACGGAGGAATATCATAATGAGATGGAACTATATCAGAGGAATCAGCAAAGAGAATGTCATCAATAGGGTTAGTAGGCATTGACGGGTCAATAGGCTCTACTGGCTCAATAGAAGCAGAAGAATAATGAACATGGGATCGACTCTGCAAGATAGTAGTATAACCAATGGGACAAAGAGTCTGACAAGAGACCCCATCTGGAAAAGAAGCCCCAAGGGGTGTCACCAAATGGTGAATCAGGTAAGCATAGTGGAGACCAATCCGATGACCTAGAATCTTGAATGCATGCACATCATGTCACCAAATGCACATGTATGTCTACCCAAAAAATGCATTTGATCACAATATGACACGGTTAATGACTAGACAAGATTGCCATACACAGAGATCAAGTTCGGTTGGAGTAAATTGTATACATGACTCATATGTGAAAAGTGACATTAATCACATGCAAGCAAGATTCAAAACCTTAAATTTGTGAGAAAGGACACGCTAAATCACAACTGAATGAGTCTATCCCCTGATCTATGAAAGTCTAATCCAGCGCCACTATGACCTATAAATCAATTAACAATGAAAATGTAGTGTATAATTTTCTTTCTCTCCATGTCTATAAGCACCATTTTTTTTTAATCTAATGTGCAAGGCCATTTTCATTAACCTACTAAGAAGACCCCAGTAGTGAGCTTTGGGTCGGTGACTCCCAAACCAGTTGGCTTTAGGGCACCATGTTATGAAAAACCTCTCAAGTTTAATTGCTCAAGTCAACTAGACTACGAAGATGGGTATAAGATATGACTTAATAAACAATATTTTTCATCTTTTGTTATCAAGAACCACCAGAATTTAGGTCACCTAGTCAAAGATCAATTCATGCTCATGGTCACGTCATCAGCAAATGACAGCCATCCCAAGTCTCATAAATGCAATCAAGACTTGCTTATACGATCATAGTGTGTGCTGTGCAGATTAAATATAATGAGACATATACCAAATACTCCATACAACCTCAATTCAAGTGATGGGAGCATTTAGCTAATCATTTATTGAAAATATATTTGATCACAAGATGCAAGTTTAAGTGAAACACATACAATGCTATAGTAACGAAAATTTTAATTGATACGATAAAATTAAAAGTGCATGAAGATGGGGCAAATGCAAATCAAAATGAATATGCCATAAAATGAATGCAACGTCAGACAATAAAATGAGATGTACCTACGAAGATGGTCAAGGAGGTACACATATACCTACAGCCTTTCTAAGTGACTCAAACCTCAGACCATTTGAAGATTTAGTGAACAGATCGGCAAGTTGGTTTTTTGTGGAAATGTGTTCCCCCACATTATACTCAATGAGTTGTCGAATGAAGTGATGGAAAATGTCAATATGTTTGGTCCTAGAATGCTGAATAGGATTTTTGGAGATGTTGATAGCGCTAGTGCTATCACAGAGCATAGTCATAGTACCTGATTTAATCACTCAACATTTGCTTAATCCAAAGCAACTAAGTGCAACAGCTACTGGCTATAATGTTTTCAGCCTCAGTTGTGGACAAGGAGACTGAGTTTTATTTCTTACTTATCCATGACACAAGATTAGAACCAACATAGAAACAACCACCCGAGGTACTCTTTCTGTCATCGGCATCGGAGTAGCCGGCTAGATCAAGATTGGAGTCTTTAGAATACAAGATTCCATGATCTACAATTCCATTTATATACCTAATGATACACCTCACAACACTCAAATGAGATTCCTTAGGATCAACCTAAAATCTCGCACACACTTCAACATTGAATGCTATGTCAAGTTTACTATCAGTAAGATAGAGCAAGTTACCTATCATACTCCTATACAGTGTCTGATCAACATTCTTACAAGTAGGATCATGACCTAACTTAACACTTGTGCTAATGTGTGTCCTTGTATGTTTTTTACTATCTAGCTTAAACCTCTTGACAAGAATTTTTGCATACTTTGATTGAGAAATGAACAGCCCATCATTTGTTTGCTTCATTTGAAGCCCAAGAAAGTAGCTCAGCTCTCCAACCATCATTTCAAATTCTTATTTTATGCATTCAACAAATTCATGAGCAAGAGAGTCAACAAGAAGGCCA